ACTCGCCGGAGCCCAGCAGGTTGAGGCTGCGGTGGCCGGGAGCCGCCACTGCACTCCAGTATGGGTGACAGAGTGAGACTCCAACTCAAAAAAAAAAAAGAACTGTTACAGAGGGAGAGTGAGTAATTGGGGAAAGCCCAATTACTTGGGTTGAATAGAGGGGAATACAGCAGCTATAGGTAAGTCTTTTGAGGAGTTTTGTTTTAGAAGGGAGCAAGGAAAAGAATTAGAGGAGATAAGGGTCATCTGGAGAAAGTTTTGTTTGTTTAATGAAGGGTGCTGTTAAGGAATATGACCATGACCTAATCAAGAAGGAAAATGTGGCGGGGCTCGGTAGCTCAGCCTGTAATCCCAGCACTTTGGGAGGCCAAGGGGAGTGGGTTACCTGAGCCTGCGAGTTCATGACCAGCGCTGGCAACTTGGCAATACCTTATCTCTACAATAAATCAAAAATTAGCCAGGCATGGTAGTGCACACCTGTAGTTCCAGCTACTTGGAAGACTGAGACCGAAGGATTGCTGGAGCCCAGCAGGTCGACGCCGGGGTGACCGTGAGTGTGCCACTGCACTCCAGCCAGGGCGATGGAGTGAGACTCCAACTCAAAAAAAAGACACATTCGTAATGGCGTAGATCCAGCAGCATGGCCACACCTGACATCGCTGTGGGGGGAAGGGCAGGAGCAACACAGATTCATGAAAAATAATAGAGCTTACCATGGATTGCTTTTTCACTTACTTAAATTTACCACTTTAAAGATGGAAATGGCCAGGCACCGTAGCTTACGCCTGTAATGCCAGCACTTTTAGGAGAATGAGTCCGGAGGATTGCTTGAGTCCAGCAATTCAAGAGCAGCCTCAGCAACATAGCAATACCTCGTGTCTACAGTAAATAAAAAAAATTAGCTGGGCATGCTGGCATGCACCTGTAGTCCCACCTACTTGGGAGACTGAAGCTGGAAGATCACTTGAGCCCAGGAGTTTGAGGCTGCGGTGAGTCATGATCGAACCACTGCACTCCAGCCTGAGTAACAGAGTGAGACCCCGACTCAAAAAAAAAGATGATAGATAATGCATCATGTATCTGGCTTATGCAAGAAGGAGACGACTCGATTCAGCAAGCACATTTTTTTTTCTCACATATGACCTTATTTATTTAATTCTCACATGTACTGTGTGAGTTTGAGATAATCCCATCTACAGTTGAGGAGAGTCAAGCTAGGAGAAGTTAAATATCTTGCAAAAGCCACATGCACTAAGAGAATTGAAGCTTAAGTGGCTAACTTGAAGATCATTGACTTCTCTGCTATAGCACTGTTTTTTCTGCACATGGGAATAGTCAGGGAGGAGGATTGTATTTCTGTTGAGCTCCTCCTACTGTTATCAATGGTCGATGTTTATTTTTTTATATTTTTTATTTTTTTGAGTTGGAGTCTCACTGTCGCCCAGACTGGAGTGCAGTGGCCACTCCCAGCCACCACAGCCTCGACCTGCTGGGCTCCAGTGATCCTTCTGCCTCAGCCTTCCAAGTAGCTGGAACTACAGGCGCGTGCTACCATGCCCGGCTAATCTTTTGATTTATTGTAGAGATGAGGTCTCACCAAGCTGCCCAGGCGGGTCTCGAATCCACGGGCTCAGGCAATCCACTCACCTCCCAAAGGCGCGGGATTACAGGCTGAGCCACCGAGCCCGGCATAATGGTCGATGTTTAAATGAAGCAAACCCCTCCCACCCGCAACAAAGTTTCTGAAAAGATAGTCTTGTTCTTTGGTAATTGCCAACCAAGAGTTCTTCTTCAATTCATGGGTGACTTTGGTAGTTTTTACACTTGTGAACATAAACAAACAAGTCACTCAGGGAATCGCTCTTATCTGCTCATTGTCTTTTCTCCCATCTTATGTAGCCTGGAAGTATAAATAAATCGAAAGGGCATAACATGTTGTGATACACCTAAAGAGCAACCATTTTAACACTGCCTTATTCTACCATATTCTCTTAACATGACCTAGCTTGCCCTGTAATCAAGGAAAGAACTAGTTCCTCAGAGGTAGTATTGACTCCAGCAAACGCATTTTTAAAAGTAGGGGAAGGGAGTGGAATTTGGCCCTAATAACAATGACAGGTGCATATACACAAACACCTACTGTGTGCTTGGTGTGTTCTAAGTGTTTTATACCTAATTCTAGCAGCTGTGTAAATTACTAAATCTGGAGAGTTGGCAAATTACTGCACAATTATATATTTTAAGTTAAACTGTATTATTTCTCACTTTTGCCAGTCTTGTTCGTAAAGGTTTGTACTATACTACATGTGTGCTTTTATATGTACTGAGCCTCTTTTTAATGATTTATAAAAGCAGGTTGTCTCTGGGATGGGGTTCCAACTCTTATTGAAATCGTTCTACCATGGATTAGTATGCTTAACTAAATAAGTAATGTAACTTTCTGTGGTGATTCAGGTTTTTGCAATGAGCCCGGGACACTTTTGACCCTTTCTTCTTCAATAAAAAGATAGCATATCAGCCTGTCTTCTCAACATTTGCCTCATTCAGATTAAACTCAAATGCTAAATAAAAACTTGTCATTTGGGGGGAGGAGGAGGGTCCAAATAGTTGGATTTAAGATCATCCGAATTGTCCTGTGATGACATTTTTCAGTATAGAAATGTCTACTTCAGAATTATTTGACATATAAATTTAATTTTAATTCTTTTAATTAAATGATATCCTTACGATGTTTTCTATCTTTGGCAGGAATTAAAAGGTGGGAAGACTTATGCAAAGGTAAGTAGATGTTCCTTAACTCTTTTGGAACATGTAGTAAATATCTCTCAGTGCTCTTTATAGCCTTAAGAATGAAATGATTTACTCTTCTAATGACCATTCAAGTTGGCTCTTTAAAGAAAGCAACTTGGGATTGAACAGCTGAATCCGACAGTGATAGGCATATTCTTTCTCAATGCTAATTATGAGATGTTATTTGTTAGTTTCATCTTCCCTGCTAGAGAATGATCTCTGGTTTGCATGAAGCCATAGTGACTCACAATTCAGACCGTCTCACCTGGTACATATTCCTCCAGTGTCAGAGGATCGCTCCTGTGTGCTGTCTTAGCCTCTGCGTGGGCATGATCGCTCCGGTCCTTTGTTGCTTTTACCAGCTCTGTGGAATTACTAATAAATGTGCTCACCCTTTTGCTGATTAGAAGGAATTAGCATTGAGTAGCATTGCCAGAAACCCACATGCTCCTCTTTTGTTTCCAGTCTCGATGATGGTATCTCCATCCATCCAGGCATCTGAACCAAGAGTCCATACACTCGTTTTAACCACCAAATCTGCCTAGCTTCCTAAACCTAGCTGGTTGCAACATCAGGATGTTTTTTGCTACAAGTAGCAGAAAACTTGCCTCAGCTAGATGTTGTAAGACTCAGCTAACTGTGAGACAGAGCAGCTCCAGAGCTGGTTAATCCACTGACTGAAAAACATCATCAAGACTCATGTTATTGTTCTCTTTTGTTCTGCCATTCTCAGTGTAATGGCTTTGCTCTTGGCTCACTCTCCTCAATGACACCAGGTGGCTGACTGCTTAGGTTTTAAGTCAGCACATTCACACCTGAACAAAATCCAGCTGCTTCTCCGTGGATTCATTTTTTAAGTGAGAAAACTTTTCCTAGATGGCACTCAGAGGCTTTCCCCAGACCAGTTGTGAGCAGTAGAAACGGATTGTCATGGTTAGCTTAGACTAATCACAAGTTGACAATGACCTTGCTTACTGTTGACCCTTTTGTGCACATGGATGAACTGAGAGTGGACACTGAGTAAAATCAGAACTTTGCTACCATGGAAGAGCAGGACACTGAATGTGGGGGTGGACAGAAAGCAGGGTGTGCTGTAGTTGACAGATCTCCTGGAATTTTCTCCTCTGGAAAGCTCTCAAGCTGGGCGTGGTGGCTTATGCCTATAATCCCAGCACTTGAGAAGACTGAGGTGAGAGGATTGCCTGAGTCCACAGGTTCGAGACCACTCTGGGCAACTTGATGAGACCTCATTTCTACAGTAAACCAAAAAATTAGCGGGCATGACGGCGTGTGCCTGCAGTTCCAGCTACTTGGGAGGCTGAGGTGGAAGGATCGCCTGAGCCCAGCAGGTTGAGGCTGTGGTGGCTGTGAGCATGCCACTGCGCTCCAGCCTGGACAACAGAGTGAGACTCCAACTCAAAAAAAAAAAAAATAGAAAGAAAGCTCAAAACCATGCCTCCATGCCCAGGGCCTTTGTCTTTGGTTAAACTTTTGTTATTTTGTGTTGACAGCCTGCAGTGGCCTTCTCTCTAGCCTCCTGGCTCTGTTCTCCCTCCATCCTTCATATTAGTGCCAGAGTGACCTTTCTGAAATTAAAGCATGATCCTATCATTCTCACCCTTAGTCCTTCAGCAGCTACTCATTGTTCATAAAGGAAAATGAAAACTCTTCTACCACGCGAGGCCCATCTTGGTTTGTCACCTCCGTCATCTGCACATGCACACACATGCTCACTCACTCGTTTCTGGGCTTCACACATGCCATCCTCACAGACGTCCTGGAACGCAGCCCATGCTATTTTTGCCCGTTTGCCTCGTGGCTTGATGTTCTTCCCTACCATGTGTGTGCATTTCTCCTTCCTCTTGTCCTGTCGACTCATGTGTTGTTAAAGACTTGGCTGAGTCATCCCTCCCCACTGGGAACTTTTCTTTTTTGCCCTTTCTTGTAACTGTACCTTCCTCTGTTATAGTGCTTGTCCCACTACATTAAGGAATTTGTTTTCTGTCTTTCCCTATTAAACTTAAAAATAGGAATGATCCTTCATTCCCAATGCCTAACATTACCTGGAATGTAGATGCTGAAAATTATTTTCTGAATGGATTAATATCTACTACAAATACAGAAAAAAATGTATATACCCGAAAAACCTAGACTTTATTTATACAAAATTGTGTATTTATTCTTACGTGTTTACACTTCAGTCACCTTCAGAGTACTCTCTGTTGGATGCAATACACCTATCAAGACACATTTTCCACTGCTCAAAACAGTTTGTGAACTTATCGATCTTGATGCCTTTTAGCACTTCTGGCATTTTTTTATTTCACCTCCTCCACATCAGCCAAACATTTCCCTTTGAGAATTTTTTCATCCAGGGAAACAGAAACAAGTCATTTGGGATGAGTTCAGTTGAAGAGAGGGTGGGTGGGGCCCAGGGGTCAGGCTGGTTTTGGTCAAAACTGCTGAACACTCAGCACAGTGTGGATAGGTATGCTTGTAAATCACCCATCATGAAATGGGCAAATAGGTTGAAATCATCTCCAAAAAAATTCACTGAGGCCAAACACAGCCTCTCACCACAATGATGGCTGGGACACTGAAGCCGATAGGTTCCTAGAACACTTACCCAGCGGGGGAACCTGCGCTACAGTGTGCCTGCCCTCCAAAAGATAATTCCAGGTTTTTTGGGTCCCCTTTCTATGCTGTTTCATGAGTCAGTTGTCTCAGTAAAGCCAAAGAGGAAATCATAAGGAAATATGGCCTCTCTGGTACCTTGCTAGAATGTAAGCTTTTGAAGGCAGAGTCTTTGTCCTGTTCCTCACTGTTTTCCTATGTCTCCAGCAGGGCCTGTCAAATAAAAGCTGCTAGATAAATATCAGCCTCACTCATAGTAACCTTCATCCTAAAGCATCACACTGATAGACCTCACCTTTTAATAGACCATCTTGGTGGGGACTGACTCAAGCAGCTTAGGCTGCTATAACAAATTACCATAGATTAGGTGACTTAAACAACACTTATTTCTCACAGTTCAGGAGGCAGGGACGTTCAAGGTGCTGGTGACCCAGTATCTAGTGAGGGCCTGCTTCCTGGAATGCAGAGGGCGGTGTTCTCATTGTGTCCTTGAATGTAGAGATCGGAGAAAGAGGAAGCACGCTCTCTGTGTCTTTTTTTTATATATATATCAATATCTTTTATGATGTTGTGGGGCACAGTTAAGGGTTAGGTATACATTTACATTTCATTCAGGCACCCTGTTGATAAGAGGTGTTTCCCCATCCCCAGACAGATATTTGCTACTGTTAATCCCATCTCC